TTTTTTTTTTTATGCTTTTGAAAACAATAAATAAAATTACAACGAGAATCCCTAAGTTTTATGAAGAAAAGTTTGATGTGGCGTTTAATAAGAGAATAAAAATCCAAAACAACGTCATTTAAGAGACAGACACAAAATCAGCACAGTAAACATCAATAGAATAGTGAAGATACAAAAGCGATGTGACAGATTACTATTGTATGACGTTTGAGGATGATAGGTATTGTTTGTATTTTATAGATTCAGAGAAGATGCGTGATACGTTTCTTCTTTCTTTTGTGACGTTTAAACAAGATATCTTTATTTTTATTTTTATTTTTTATATAAGGGGAGGCGGGAATTGAACTTATTAGGACATCAAATGTAGGAGTAATTGCTCTTAGCCACTTGAACTACTAGCCCCTTGTTGTTATCTTCAATTTAATAAATGAATTCCATGCAGATATTGAATACCAAAAGCATCAACTTATTTAATTTAAAACATGAAGTTCAACAGACTCAACAAACATCAATGAAACATCCTAAACCAAACGAGGAGAAATTAAAACATGGTTCTGTTCTGTCCACAGCAGTTGGACAGGCTCGACAACATCAGAAATTCAAATGCAACGCACAATAAGCAGGAACAAGCAGACAGCTTCTTTTATTGACATGTAATCATATAGTTCAATGCTGCTCATCTACAGACAGCGGGATCGACTTCACCTGAAAGATGATCAAAATGGCAGAGGTCGCATAATTCCTTCAATGATATTGATCTACCAAATCATTCCAATCAACTCTCTCTATCTAAACTCAAGAGTGGAATGTAAAAGGACCAGCACTAATCAGAAAAAAAAGTAGATGAGCAAATTGGCTTTAAGAAAATTATATTTCTGCCCTGCTAATATTGTACAAATAGATGAACCTTTTTCCTCAAGAAAACAACAGAATCATTTAATCACCAACAAACCAAGTGCAAAACAAAATTGAACTATGACATGTTTTAGCTTTGTGATTTGTGAGGTAACTATGCCTCTTAGAGAACTAGACTTATCCTCGGGGCACATGCAAACTTTTATTAACTGTTGAAGGATGGTCATAGCAAGGCTTTCCTGCTCTAATAGAATGTAAATTGAATTTATGGATCATCATATGAAATCCATGGAATGCAAGTCCCATTTTGTGTACGAGTAATACTGGGAAGGATAACATTACTAACCAGATTTCGGTACTTGAGAATGTAAAACATATCCAGATATCGCCTTGTCTCTCGCCTCTCAAGCTTAGACACATGCTTCCAGAAGCCATAAACCCCAGCTAAATTGAGCAGCCTCTCAGAATATATCTTCCAAGTGTACCTAGAGAATTGAGCTTGAAATTAGTTACAATGAGGTTGACAAAGATTGTCTTTTTGAAAGCATGCCAGAAATGCAACCTTTCATAAATTCGTTTGAGGCCCGCTTCAGATATCTTTTCCCAGTAGCCAGGATGCTTCTGGCACTGATCAAAGAAGTCAATCAGAAGTGCAGCCACTTGATCTTGATGATAGGGATCAATATGGAACCCGGAGATACCATGCTCAATGATCTCAGCAGGACCACCATGACATGTTGCAAAAGTAGGAAGGCCACAAGTCATGGCTTCCACAACGGTGAGGCCGAAAGCTTCATAAAAAGCAGGCTGCAACAGATAAAAGGATAGGTAAAACATGGAATTCTAATACACAACAAACCATCATATAGCTACACCTCATACCTGCACAAAGACACCTTTTGTGTCTGCAATGTAGCGGTATAGCTCACCATTACGGGCACGGTTCATTTGGGCTGCAATCCACCGAAACTGGCCACTCAAGTTGTATTTCTTAACGAGATCATGCATCTTTTCAATCTCTGCGACCTCTTCTCTATCCCTAGAGTTCTTGACGTCTATGTAACCACCAACCACAACAAGATTTACCAGTTCTCTTAGCTTGGTACTCTTGCCATAACACTCAACAAGGCCAGTTAAGTTTTTCACTCTATCAAGTCTTGCCATGGAAAAGACAATAGGCTTTGATCGGTCA